CCGCCCGCCGCCGCCGCCGCCCCCGCCCTCCCCGCCGGCGCCGCGCCGCGGCCGCGTCCGGCGCGCGCCGCCGCGGCGGCGGGTCGACGACCTCGGCGTGGGCCGCGCTCATGAGCTGGATGTCGGACGCGAGGACGACGTCGAACTTCGGGGCCGTTTCCGCGGACGCGTCGTCGTAGCCGCGGCCGGAGGCGAGCTTGCGGAGCCGCTCGGCGATGGACCGCCGGGGCCGCCGGCCCGTGTCCGCCGGCGGCGACCGGCCGTGGTGGCTCTTGCGCCGCGGCGGCGCGGACGACGCGGGCCGCGGCACCTGCGCGGAAACCGACCGGTGACGTCGGGGCCGAACTTCGAAATTCTCGAGTTTTCGGTCGAATCGAGGTCGTTTCGGCTGATTTTTTGGATTGCTCTCGGCGAGTTCTCGACGCACGGCCGAAGAGCTCGTGTCAAAACGTTCGCACATTGAAGTCGGGTTGAAGATTCGAGTTCCGCGCGGCGCGGCGCGGGCACGGCGACGGGCACGGGCGGCGGCGCGGGCGCGCCGCCCGTGGGCAGCGTGTCGAAGGTCGCGTCGTCGTGGGGCAGCGCCCGCCGCGCGTAGACCGACGCGATGGCCGCGCAGCCCACGATGAAGAGCGCGACCTGGGCGAGGAAAAAGTCGCGCGCGCGCCGCCGCCGCCTCCCCGGGACGCGGGCCGCGCGCGGCGCCCGCGATGACGGCGGCGGCGGCGCGGCTCAGGTCGCCGTCGTCGTCGTCGTCGTCGCCCCCGAGGCTCGGCGCCCGCGTCGCCCTGGCCGCGCGCGGGCCCGCCGTCGGCCGCCGCGACGGCGTCGTCGTCGGAGCGATCGTCGGGTACGCGCAGTAGGACACGTCGGCGTCGCAGTCCGCGAGGCACTCGAGCTTCATGGACCATTCGTAGTACACGAGGAACCAGCCGCCCTGGACCTCGAGGCACTCGTCGTCGCCGAACGTGAGCACGTCGACGGCCGCGGAGCAGCTGTCGTCGGCGAAGGCAGAAACATTAACGACGCCCGTCGCCGGGTCGCAGGTGCCCCGCAGCCAGCCGTCGAAGCCGTCGCGCGAGAAGGGCGCGCAGGCGTCGTCCGCCGCCTCGTAGGGGTTCGGCAGCCCGCTGCGAGGGCGGGCGCGTGGGGGGGCGGGCGGCGCGCGCGCGGCGCGCGAGCGCGCACCTGATCTCCGAGTCGCCCCAGCCCATGGACGTCGACAGGCAGCCGAGGCTCCGGTAGCCCGTCATGCGGAAGCCGCCCTCGGCGGCGCCGAGCAGCGACGCGACCAGCGCCACGCGCACCATCGTTCGTCCTCGGGCTGCCCCGATTCTACCGACCCCTTCAAGCATCGATGCAACTTGAACTAGTTTAGGCTGCACTGGCGGCCGCCGGCCTCGAGCTGGGCGAGGAGCTCCCTCGCCGGCACGGGCGGCCGGCTGGGGTCCACGAATTGCCGTTTCACATTCAGGCTCGCGCGGTGGAGCTCGTTCGCCCGGCGCTTCCCGTCGACGGCGTAGGCCGCGAGGGCCGCGTCGACGTCGCCGTGGCGGTCGAAGGCGACGCCGAGGCCGTGGGCGTCGAGGAGGCCCGTGTAGGCGCCGGCGCCCGTGCGCGGCGACGCCATGTGGGCCGCGTCGCCGATGATCACGACGCGGCCGTTCACGACGCGGTCCGCGCAGAACTCCCAGACCGCGTGCTGCGTGACTTTGCCGTGCTCCGCCATGGCGCGCCAGAGCCGCACGAGCTCGCCGCCGTTGACGTGGCTCCAGAGCTTCTCGTAGAGCGGGAGGTACCAGTCCGGGAGCGCCCGTTTCTTCTCCCCGACCTGCCGCGCGGCGCCGCTCGCCGGCCGCGCGACCTCGTCCTCGGGCATGCGCAGGTAGAATCCTCCATTGTAGAGCGTGCGGCCGTCGGCGCACGAGATGGGGAAGCCGCCAGTGTCGAAGTAGCCGCTCCGGTGGCCGCCGAAGCTCCGGAACGAGGGCGCGCGCTCGAGGTCCATCAGGCCGCGCCAGAGGCAGTAGCCGGAGTAGACCGGTTGTTGGTCGCCGACGACGAAGCGGCGCAGCGAGCTCCAGCCGCCGTCGGCGACGACGACGAAATCGTAGGCCGCGCCGTCGACCGTCGGCGCGGCGACGTCGCCGACGTCCGCGACGGCGACGCCGTGCCTCACGGCGTCGTCGGGCAATCCCCCGCGGAGGTAGCGCCATAGGTCGCCGTAGAACCAGCCTCCGGGCCCGTGCTGCCGCAGCGTCGCGCCGTCGGCGCGGATCGACTCGTAGAGTTGGCGGTCCACGCCGCCGAGGCCGCCGCCGCGGCTCTCGAAGCCTGTCGGAAAGCGCTCGAAGACCGTCACCTCGAAGCCGCGCTGCGCGAGCACGTTGGCAGCAGCGAGGCCAGCGATGCTACCGCCGACGACGGCCACGGAGCCGCGCGACATTCTCTCTCCGAGCGCGGAGGAAACGAGCCAGAAACTTGCCTGAAGTGCAGCTCGCTAAATAGAGGCTGTCGGCTGCCCTCGTCGGCTGCCCTCGTCGGCTGCCCTCGTCGGCTGCCCTCGTCGGCTGCCCTCGTCGGCTGCCCTCGTCGGCTAGCCCTCGTCGGCTGCCCTCGTCGGCTGCCCGAGCTACCACTACCGGTGCGAAAAATGGCGCACCCGCGCGCTGCCCTCGTGCGCGAGGCTGCTGCGCGCCTCGGCACGAGCATCGTGCGCACGCCGTTGCTCGAGGCACCGTCACTCAACAGACTCGCGAGCGCGCGCCTCGACAAAAAAGACCTGCGTGTGCTCGTCAAGGCCGAGTGCCTGCAGAAGACGGGCGCCTTCAAGTTCCGCGGCGCGCTGAACCGCCTGCTCGAGGAGGACATGGACGACGCGGCCGCGCGCGCGCGCGGCGTCGTCGCGTTCTCGAGCGGCAACTTCGCCCAGGCGCTCGCGCTCGCCGCCGCGACGACGGGCACCAAGTGCACGATCGTGTCGCCGCACGACGCGCCGCCGCTCAAGCTGGAGCGCACGCGCGACTACGGCGCGACCGTGGTCTTATCGACGGCGGCTCCCGGCGTGAACCGCGAGGTTGCGGCGTCTGGGATGGCCGCGGCGTTCGCGGAGGAGCACGGCGCCAAACTGCTGCACCCCTTCGACGACTGGGGCGTGATTTATGGCCAGGGGACGCTCGCCCTGGAGATTTTCGAGGAGGAGGAAGACGTCGCTTCGTTGATCGTGCCGACCGGCGGCGGCGGCATGCTCGCCGGCTGCTGCTTAGCGGCGGAGCTCGCGTCGCCCTCGACGAAGCTCTTCTGCGTCGAGCCGGCGGGCTACGACGACCACCGGTCGAGTTTCGAAAGCGGCGCGCGCACGCCGCTGGCCGGCGCGCCCGCGGCGACGATCTCGGACGCGTTACAAGCGTCGGCCCCGGGCGAGCTCACGTGGGCCGTCAACGGGCCGCGCGTCGCCGGCGCGGCCGCCGTGCCCGACGCGGACGCCGTCGACGCCATGGCCGTCGCCTTCACGGAGCTCAAGCTCGTCCTCGAGCCCTCGGGCGCGCTCGGCCTCGCGGCGCTCCTCCGCGGCGACGTGCCGGTGGCCGACGGGGACACCGTCGCCGTCGTCGCCTGCGGCGGCAACGTCGCCCTCGACACGTTCCTGGAGCTGCACGCGAAACGTTAATCTGAGACCACGTCGAAGGACGCGCTCAGCGGCGTGTCGTCGCTCGCGGGGCCGACGTAGACCTCGAAGGTCCCCGGCTCGAGGACCCAGGCCATCGTGCGGTCGAGCACCCGCAGCTCGTCGAGCGAGATCGCGAGCTCGACCCGCCGCGTCTCGCCCGGCGCCAGGTCGACGCGCGCGAACGCCTTGAGGCTCCGGAGGGGCGTCGTCACCGACGAGACGACGTCCCGGACGTAGACCTGCGGGACCTCGACGACCGGCGGGCCGCCCGCGTGCGCGAGCGTGAAGCGCACGAGGACCTCGTCCGTCGCGGCGGACGCGGTCTCCGGTACGACCGAAACGTCGGCGTAGGTGACGTTGGAGTAGGACAAGCCGTGCCCGAAGGCCCAGAGCACGGACTCGGCCACGTCGCACCAGCCGCTCCGCGCCGACGACGGCTTGCGGTCGTAGAAGACGGGCAGCACGTCCGCGGACGCCGGGAACGACAGCGGCAGCCGGCCCGACGGGTTCGCGGCGCCGACGAGGACGGCCGCGATCGCGTCGCCCTGGGCCTGGCCGCCGTTGAAGGCCGCGAGCACCGCCGGGGCCGTCTTGAGCAGCGGCTCCGCCGTCGGCTTGCCGTCGACGAGGACGACCGCGAGCGGCGCGCCCGACTTTGACGCCGACGCGAGCGCGGCGTCCACGAGGTCGCGCTGGCGGCCCGTGAGCGCGAGCGACGCGCGGTCGACGCCCTCGCCCTCCGTCGAGTCGTTGCCGCCGTCGGGCGCCCGCAGGTTGTTCGCGCCGCCGACGACGGCGACGACGGCGTCCGCGGCGTCCATGAGGCGTTTGGCTTTCGCGAGCTCGTCGTCGTCGTCGTCTTCCGCGAGCGACCAGAGGAGCGCGACCGCGGGACCGTCGTTCCACGAGTGGCTCTGGCTGTAGTTGACGGCCACGTCGTAGGCGCGGCCGGCCTCGAAGGCGAAGGGCCCGGAGACCGTCGGCGCGGACGCGTTCGGGAACGTGTCCACGAGCACGACGCCGTCGACCTCGAGCGAGACGCGGACCTCGCCGTCGCTTCCCGTGTGCACGAGCACGCCCCAGCGCCCGCGCGTCGCCGTCGCCGGCGGCGTCGCGAGGCCCCGGAACCGCGCGGAGAAGACGCCGCCGGGCAGCCGCGCGGGGTCGGGGCCGAGCGCGAAGAAGTGGTGGTTCAGCGCAAAGTCGAGGCGCGAGAGCGCCGCCGGCCCCTCGAGGCGCGCGTCGGGGAAATAGGTCGCCTCGAGCCCCTGCGTGCCCGCGGCGACCGTCGTCGGCTCAAAGCCCGGCGCGTAGGGCACGGACGGCGCCGTCGCCGCGAAGGCCGCGGCGACGGCCCACTCGTGGCGCTGGACGACGTTCCAGTGCCGCGCGGCGGACAGCGACGACCCGACGGCGTAGACGACGTCCGAGCGCGGGAGCGCCTTGCGCAGGCCCTCGAGGACGGGCACCATGTTGAACGTGTCGATGTTGCCGCCGCCCGACGGCGCGCCGCCAGACCAGCCCGCGGCGGAGTAGTCGCCCATGCGGGCCTCGTCGCCGTTGGGCCCGACGACGGCGACGATCTTGCCCGCGAGGGCGTCCGCGTCCAACGGGAGGACGCGGTCGTTCGCGAGCAGGACGACGCTCTCCGCGGCCGCGCGCGCGGCGACGGCGCGGTGCGACGGCGCGTCGCCGAGGCGCGTCGCGACGAGCGCCGGGTCCGTCCGGTACGCGCCCGTCGCCGCGACGCCGCCGACGTCTCGCAGGAGGCCGAGGCGCCGCTTCACGGCGAGGACGCGGCCCGCGGCGAGGTCGAGCGTCTCGGACGCCATGCGGCCGCTGTCGGTCAGGTTGGCGACGATGGCCTCGTAGTCCGCGTGGTAGTCGTGGCCGTTCACGCTCCCGCCCGCCTCGAGGAACTGCCGCACGGCCTCGGGCCCGTCGGCCGCGGTGTAGTGGAGCGACTGGAGGTTGTGGATGGCGCCAAAGTCCGAGCTCACGTAGCCCTCGAAGCCGAGCTCGCCCCGCAGCAGGTCCTCGAGGTAGCCCGCGTCGCCGCTGACGGGCACGCCGTCGACCTCGTTGTAGCTCGACATGACGCCCGTCGCGCCCGCGGCGACGGCCTTGGCGAAGGGCCGCGCGTACGTCTCCCGGAGCTCGCGGGGCCCCATGTGCGCCGGGCCCTCGTTGCGGCCCGCCTCCGGCACGGAGTAGGCGACGAAGTGCTTGAGGAGCGACCTACCACATGCGTCGGTCACGATCTTTTATCGTGTTCCCGGTCAACATCTCTCGAACATCGTCACAGGACGCTGGGAGCGACGACGTCGCGTTCGGCGAGTCGAGGCGGCCGTCGGCCGTCATGCCCCGGACCATGGCGCCGGCGAGCTCCCCGGCCAGGTAGGCGTCCTCGCCGAGCTCCTCCTCGCCGCGGCCCCAGCGCGGCTCGCGCGCGAGGCCGCACACGGGCGCCCAGCACTGCGCCGTGCCGCCCGCGCGCGCCTCCGCGCCCACGACCTGTGCCGAATTCAACCACTGGTTTGGGACGTCCCGACCAAACTTCAAACCTCTCTAGCTCGGTCAAATCGAAGTCGATTCCGCTGATTTTTGGACGAATCGATTTCTCTCGTCGAGTTCTCGAAGCAAAGCCGAAGAATCTGCGTCGTAACTGTCTCGTACGCTCAAATTGAAGTCGAGTTGAATATTTGAATTCGGCACAGCCCACGACGGCGCCGACGGCGCGCAGCAGGTCGACGTCGAAGGTCGCCGCGAGGGCCGGCGGCGACGGGAAGATCGTGTGGTGGTCGCCCTGGACGCCGTGCTGGCACTCCTCCGCGAAGAGCGCGGGGATGCCGTGGCGCGACGCCGCGACGACCGCGTCCTGGATCGCGTTCGCGAGGTTCGGGTCGACGTCGCGGCCCCAGTTGAGCACGCCGGCGCCGAGGCCGCCGAGGTACGCCGCGGCGAGCGTTTCGTTGAACGCGCCATCATACGTCGCGACGGTGATCGCGTCGTCGAGCACGAGCTGTCGCGCCTTCTCCTCCGTCGTCATCTTCGCCAGGAGCGCGCGGATCGACGGCGGGAGCTCGTCGAGGCGATCCGTCTCGCGCACCGTGAAGCCCGACGTGTCCGCGAAGAGCACCGCGACGGCCAGGATGGCGAGCACTCGCGCAGCCATCGTGCTTCGAGGGCTGACCGCGGCCATCGCGCTTCGAGGGCTGACGGCCAGGATGGCAAACAATCGCGCGGCCATCGTGCTTCGGGCTGCTTCACTCACTTCAACGTAGGTCGTGACTGCTTCAACTTGAACACGCGCTCGATCCGAGCGCTCGAGCAATGATGTGCGTGTCGCCGTCGCGAGCCATGCTCGCCCTCGTCGCGGTCCTGCCCGTCGCGCGGGCGCTCAGCGCGCCCACGATCACGTCCCTCAAGGAGCAATTGGCGCAGAAGCCCGCCGGCGCGGCCCTCGCCGCCGAGTTCGCGCTGCGCAAAGAGGGCAAGGGCTCGCCGCACCGCGCGTCGAGGACGCGCGTCTTCGACGACGGGGCGGAGACGCGCGTGACGCTCTACCGCGACAGCGCGGCCTGGTGCCCCTACTGCCAGAAGCTCTGGATGATGCTCGAGGAGAAGGAGATCAACTACGCCGTCGAGCTGATCAACATGCGGTCCTACGGCGACAAGCCCGCGAGCTTCACGGCCAAGGTCCGCGGCGGCATCCTGCCGGCGCTCGAGCTCGACGGGACCATGTACACGGAGAGCCTGGACATCATGGCCATGCTCGACGACGCGTTCGCCGACGGCCGCCGCGCGCTCCTGCCCGACCGGGAGTCGCCCGAGTGGGAGCGGACGCGGGCGCTCCTGCGCCTCGAGCGGTCCCTGTTCTCCGCCTGGTGCGCCTACGTCTTCGGCGGCGGCTTCGGGAGCAAGCGGAACTTCGAGGCGGCCATGCGCAAGGTCGACGCGGCGCTCGGCGACCAGCCGGGGCCGTGGTTCTCCGACTTCTCCGACGGCCCGTCGCTCGTGGACCTCCAGTACGTGTCCCACGTCGAGCGCATCGCCGCGTCCGTGCCCTACTGGCGCGGCGACGTCGTCCGGGGCTCGGGCGCTTACCCGAACGTGGACCGGTGGTTCGAGGCCTTCGAGGCGCGGCCGAGCTACGCGGCGTCGCGGAGCGACTGGTACACGCACGTCAACGACATCCCGCCCCAGTACGGCCCCGGCGTGCCGTCGAACACGCCGGACCAAAAAGCCTACGCCGCGGCGCTCGACGGCGGCGACGCGGCCTGGCGCCTGCCGCTCCCGCCGCTCGCGGCGAGCGACGCGCCGTCCGACGCGCTCCAGCCCGGCTGGGAGGCCTTCGAGGCCGACGCGGCGACGGAGGCGGCCTACCACGTCATCGACAACCTCGACGCCGTCGCGGCCTTCGCCGCGCGCGCCAAGGGGCGCGCCGGCGGCTGGGCCCGCGGCCGCCCGGACCGCGCGCGCCTCGCGGACCCGCTCGCGACGCCCGCCGAGGGCGCCGTGCGCGACGCGGTCCAGGACGCGCTCCTCGTCGTCGCCCAGGTGCTCCTCGCGGACTGCGACGTGGCCGCCGCGGACGTCGCGGCCCTCGCGGCGCGCGACGCGGGCGACCGCGCCGCCGTGCGCGAGTGCCTCGCCTACCTGCGCGAGCGCGTCGGCGTGCCCCGCGACATGTCCTACCCGGCGGCCCGCTGCCTCCGCGCGACCCTCAACTGGGTCTCCGACGCCCTCGAGTAGGGCCTAATCGAGTGCTCAGGCCGATGGTGCCGATCAAGAGTGCCGACAGTTTTTCAACGCCGGAGAGAGCATCGTCAATTTTGGGGCTGTCGTCTTCTCGCGTCTGGTGCAGCCCGCGCGCGCGAGCACCCGCGGCTCCGACGCGGGGCAGCGCTGCGGGGGTCACGTCTCGTGCAGCCCGAGGGGCGCGGACGCGACGCGCGAGCGCGGCCCGCGACGACGATGTCGACCTGGGGCAACGCCGACGAGTCCGTGTGGTGTAAGGCGACGAATTGGCAGACGGGCGAGGTGCGCTACGTGCGCGGCAAGCGCTGCGACATGTCGCCGGAGAAGATCGTCGAGGCCGCGCGGAGCCCGCGGAAGCGCATCAAGTTCCGCCGCGGGTCGGACCGCGAGCCCGACGACGCCGCGGACGAGAGCGAGGTCGAGGTCAGCCGCGACGAGTAACGGCGCGTGTGGTGTGGTGGTTACGGGGGCCGCGGGGAGAGGCTCGGCCGCCGCTTGGGCTTGCGCCGCGGCGCGAGCGCCGGCTGGGCCGCCGCGGCGCCGCCGCGCCACCGCACGACGTCCGGGTCCGCGTCCGTCGGGAGCGCGAGGAGCCGGGGGCAGTCGTCGACGAAGCGCACGGCGTCGTCCGGCGCCCCGCCGGAGGCCCGGAGGGCCGCCGCGGCGACGTGCGGCTCGACGTCCGCGCGCGATGCGACGGCGTCGACCGTCGCCGCGTCCGGCGCGCCGGCGGCGGGCCGCGCGGGCGCGAGGGCCGCGCCGGCGCCGAAGAGGGCGTCGAGGCCGACGGCGAGGAGGTCCGGCGCCGCGGGCACGAGCCTCCGCGGCGCCGCGGGCGGCGGCCGCGTCGCGAACGAGAGCCGGAGCTGGAAGGACCGGGGCAGCACGTCGCGCCAGTCCGGGAAGACGTCGAGGGACGCGCGGGGCACGCTGAGCTCCCCCGCGCCGACGAAGGCCGCGGAGGACGCGAAGCGCGCGACCTTGCCGCCGTCGGCGCTCCGGAGCGTGACCGCGAACTCGTCGCGGAGCACGACGTCGCCCGCGTCGCACGTCGCCTCGAGGACGCCGTCGTCGGTGGGCGCGCCGGCGAGCACGAGGTCCCGCGCCGCGCTCGCGGCCGCCGTGCCCACGTCGAGCGTCGCCGCGCCGGTTTCGCCGAAGATGGAACCGACGAGCGCCGGCGACAGGTCGAGCTCGTCGAAGCGCACGGCCGCGGCCGCGAGGGCCAGGGGCGCCGCGTTCGGCGCGTCGCCGTCGCAGGCGAGGGCCGCGTCGAGCAGGCCCAGCGCGCGCGTGAACGACGGCGGCAGCAGCGGCAGCGCGAGCCGCGTCTCGAGGCCCGCGGCGGCGAGCCACGCGTCGTAGGCCTCCGCCGCGGCGTCGAAGGTCCGCAGACTGTCGCCGAGCGCCGCCCCGGGCACGAGGGGCGCCACGCGGGCGATCGCTGCGGCGCATAATCCGACTCGCACGTGGCCGCCGCCCGCGTCGCAGAGCACGACGCGGTGCTCCGCCGCGAGCGCCTGGGCAGCAAAAGGGTGATTCAACGTCGCTTCAACGTGAGTGTTCCGCGCGCGCGCGTTCCGGAAAAAGCGCCCACGCGTTGAGACCGCTCCGAGAGATGATCGCTCGTCCAAGAATCAGCCGAAACGAGTGGAAAACGGCCGAGAAAGGAGCCTTTGAAGTTGGGAATTTCGCTCTCTTTTGCTGCCCTGGCGAGCGCGAGCCAGGCGCCCGCGGCCAGGCCCAGGCGCACGCAGTGGTCCAGCGCCGGCGTGTGGGCGCCCCGGGCGGCCCGCCAGCCGAACTCGAGCGCGACCGCGCGGCCGCCGCACGCGTCGAGCGCGCCCCGGGGCGTCGCGGCCTCGCCGACGTTGACGACGAGCGCGCGCGACGCCTCGCCCAGGAGGGGCTCGAGGAAGCCGGGCTTCAGCGCCGACAGCGGGCCGTCGCGCCGCAGCGCCGCGAGCGCCGCGCCGCCGCGGAGCGCGACGACGCGCGGGCCGACCGCGTACGCGTGCGCGGCGGCGACGGCCGGGTCGCCGCGCGACGCCGCGGGCATGAGCGACAGGCTCCGCGCGGCCTTGCTCAAAGACCCGAGCCAGCCGTCGTCGTCGGCGGCCGGCTTCGACCGCCGCCGCGCGCCCCAGCGGCCGCCGGCCGCCGCCGGCGCCGCCGCCGCGGCCGCCGCGCCGCGCCGCGGCCGCTCGACGGCGAGGCGCAGGCGGGTGCCCGCGGCCTCGCGGAAGTAGGGCAGCACGTCCTCGAGGTCGTCGACGACGGCCGTCGGCCGCCCGTCGACGGCGACGATGCGGTCCCCCTCCCGCAGGCGGGGCCGCGCCTTCGCCGCGCAGGAGCAGGCCACGGCGCGCCGCACGAGCAGCTCCGTCGAGCCCTCGAGGATGCCGCAGTGGAGGCCCCAGGGCGTCGTGTTGCTCGGCCGGACGAGCACGACCTCGAGGGCGCGCATCGCGTCGGGAGCGGATTCGCGCCCCGTCTTGTCTCGACCAACCGAGCTGGGAGTTCACAACAGTCTGGGCGCGTCCCGCCGGGCAGCCCCCCATGGCGTCCTGCGCGGACGGCTTCGGCGTGTCGCGGGCGCGGTACCCGTGCCGCTTCCCGTACCGCGGGTCCGGCTGCGGCACGACCTGGGCGCGCCGCGTCGAGCCGGCCTACAGCGCTCTGAGCGGCTTCTTCGTCGTGCTCGTCTTCGTGCCCTGCGTCGTGAGCGTGTCGCGCCTGCGGACCGAGGTGGCCGCGCGCCTCGACAAGGCCAGGGCCGAGGGCAAGCCGCGGCGCGGCGGCGCGTTGCGGAATTTGACGTCCGCGGAGCACGTGCACCTCGCGGCGGCGGCCGTCGCGGCCGGCGTCCCGCGGCCGCGGCGACGTTCGAGAGCTCGTGACCGCCGGAGAGACGACGAACCGTCGTCACCGACGCGCTCGGTAGGTCGCGGCGGCGCAGCTCGCGATGCTCGCGGACGCGGAGTCCTACGCCGGGCGGCTGCCGTACGAGGCCACGTGCGGCCTCGTGATCTTCGTGCGCCTGGGGCTGGACTACATCCTCATCGTCGTCGTCGCGACGTGGGCGACGCTCGGCGTCCCGCGGCCGGGGCGATGTTCGAGAGATGTTGACCGGGAACACGATGACGCGTCGCCACCGACGCGCCCGGTAGGCGACGCTGCTCCGCGCGCGGACGCGCGTCGTCCGCGTGCCGCGCGACGTCCTCGTCATCGCCGGGTCGGCGCTCGCGGCGGCGGCGCTCCTCCAGGTCGGCCTGGGCACGCTGGAGGTCGTCCTCGGGC